TGAATTTATTTTATTCGCACGGGACCCACAAACTATGAAGTGATGTCAACCATTATGTCAAAAGAATTTTGGCAAAGTAATTTAATTGCTCCTTCGAATCAAGACCAAAATAGCTTCTTAATCTGCATCATGTTTGTGTTAAATTTGAATGTTGTTCTCAAACACTGATGTAATTATCGAAAAATATCCATATTGTTTGCACTCATTGTAAAGATAATACATATTAATTCAAACTTGACATTTATACCCTCCTTTCAATTTTTTCTTGCGAAGTTGGTCATTTTCGTTATGTTTAGTTGAATCTTCACATGAAATATGGATAATTGGAGCAAAACGTCCCTATCGTTTGCTTTAGTTGCACAAATCATCCCTATTGTTTCAATTCTGACAGGCACTCAAATTGATCTTTTTTGTGCAAAAGGTGCGTAATGTCTATTTTCTCCATTGAAGTCGAGGTTCTAAAACGTGTAATGAAATTTGACTTAATATCCAACGAGTTATCTTCTTCTCTTGGATCCAATTAAGCCCCTGTTTGAGCCCCATTTTATCACATTCTTTCCCACTATTTTTTCCATTGTGCTCATTTTTAACAATACATTTTTTATTAAAATAATATTACATTCAAATCAAAAATAATTTTCTTCTTTTTTAACTATATATATTTCATCAATTTACTATTCCATAATACATTACAAGAAATTAATAGGGCTCAAACACGGACTAAAGTATCTGTGCACAGCCCTTTTTACCTTTTGTAACCAGTGATGGCATTGGTAAAAGGTAATGTTTNAACGGTTTTTCCACCCTTACTATGTTCCAAGAACAAGTTTATATAGGCTCTGTTTGGGACTGATTTAAATCAGATTTTAATTTAAGTTAAAATCAAACAATCAATTTTAATCATATGTTTCATAAATCTCACAACTTTTCAATTACACATTTCAAAAACTTTTAACAAAATCTACTAAAAATCTAAATTTAATTCTCACCAACCAGAGGCATAGTTTAAATGATTAAATGACTATCAACTTCGGAATGTCATTGAACTAATCTTGGACAATTATCTTACCCAATTCAACTTACCCTTGTTTGACAACCATTATTTGGGTAAAATGAAATTTCGAATAGTGATTTTTTGGATAATACGAGATTAAAAGTATGAAAAAAATTTGAATTTATGTGTAAAATATTTTATTATGTGAATGTGCGGTTGAAAATGAGTACGTAAAAAAAAGTTTTAAAATAATGGTTGTCAAACAGAGACTAACCATTTATTTTCTGAAATATGGAATACCTTGGACCTTTGCTGGAAATATTTTGAGTGATAAATCTCCTCTAGCTAAATATGATCAACATATAAGAAAATTGAGTTACCTCTCTTAACAATGTTAGCCTTTTATGGTATAACTTCAAGTCTTAATATGATATTAGAGTTCATTAAACTCAAACAAACAATTTGATTAGATTAAGACTCAAACAAGTACATGAATTTTAGAGTTGGTATGCCCAGGTGAGTCGCCATCTTGTAGGGACGTGTTAAGTGATAAATTTTACGTTGATTAATTATTGAAATTAGACCAACATATAAGATATTGTGCTACTTCTATTAACAATGTTGACATTTTAAAATGTAAGGTCAAGTCTAAATACAATATAGAGTTCAAACATAATGAAATGAGAAAATTACCCTAAATTTTACATTTTAATTTTTAATTTAAAAAATCAGATACAATTATTTTTCTTTCAATATTCAGGTAATAATTATTATTTTAAAAAATTATAAAATTACCCTAAATTTTACATTTTAATTTTTAATTTAAAAAATCAGATACAATTATTTTTCTTGCAATATTCAGGTAATAATTATTATTTTAAAAAATTATAAATCATTTGTCACTATACTCCCTCTATATATTCACAAAACCTCTATAGCAACCTACCATCGTCCGTCTCTCTCTTTCTCTCTCTCCAGCAACTATGTCTTCGTCTTTCTCCACAACAATCAGTCATCGTCTTCTCTCTTCTCAGCCATAATCAACATAAAAATTACCCTTATCACCACTTATCATCGATTCTTGATGTATGTGTTATGCTATAAGTTTAATTAACTTTAGACATAAGCACTTTTAATATATAATTGATGCAATTTTATGACATATCTATTATTTAATTAATATTAAACTAAATTAAATAATAAAGAGTTGTAATTATGAGATACAAATTACATATGATTGAATCTTAAATCATTTGTGATCGTGAGTAATTAAGATACGAATATCGTTATTATAGATAGATCATCACATGTGACATTTTTTACTTGTAAAGTAAGTAGCTGATCTCACAAGTTAAGGTGTGATGACACTTAAATGAATAAATGGATGTTTTGTTATAGAACAAAACATTAGAGATCCACTGGGAAATTTCATATAAATAACTATTTAAGTATCAGTGGTTAATCTTTAACGTTCGGTAGTGAAATTGGTCCTTTCACTCGAGGTCATCATAGTGTCTTATACAATAACAGTCATACTTTGGTGATATTGGATGTTACTCTATAAAGGACCAATAATACGATACCGTTTGTGTATGTTAAGAATCATATGAAGGTTGTGAATGACTAATAGAAAATTCATCACTTTTAGATAGTAAGATATTATGATATACATTTTATTCAGTTAAGTTAATAACGAAGTACTTGATCAAGGTGTATTCATAAGTCAAAAGGGAGTTTCGATTTATATTGACTTAATAGTGGAATGAAAGATATAATCCATAATGGAGATTGACACGCTTCCATATCTCGTAAATGATCGGATCATATTAATGAAAGGATTATAATTCCACGATAAACGAACAAATTTGATTTTGTCATACCACGTAACATTTCTCATCACATGTATTGTCCTAATACATTATTAGATGTCAATCTAGAACGATAGATGTGAATAAGTGATAAATTAAAGGGATGTTTTAATTTATCGATTTTGACTAGATCAAAATAATAATTCACGTCGTTAAGTATCGCGATTAGAAACCTAATGGGTCACACACTAAAGGAGAACTAGAATAATGATATTCATCAATTATTTAATTAACGAATGTTGGATAATTAATTATTTGTGTTGCTTATTAATATGCTCGAATTAATTAATTCATGGATCAAATTTAATTAATTAGATTAATTAAATATTGGTCCCGATTACGTTTAAAGACGGGACAAGCCTGGACTTATATTAATAAGACGTTAAGGGTCGAAAATTTATTAGAGAATATAATTCGTATTCTTATTAGCACAAGAAAAGAAAAATCATAGTTCTCTCAATCTTATTTACTATGTGGGTTTTTATTGGAGGTTGAAAAATTGGATAGCTGTAGATTGTAGATCATGATTGGTCGTATTACAAGATGAGCAAAAGAGTTAGCAGAATTTACAAAAAATATATAGTTCCTATTGTAGTTTCTATATAAATACAAACCAGATCCTTGGTGAGAATTAAAATTATTTTATTTTTCCGCTGTGCGTGATTAAATAAATTCTCAACACTAGAACATAGGCGATTTAACAAAGTTGTCGACGCATGTACTTTAGGTACTATATCGAGAGGATTGTTGGATGGAAGAGGCCGCTTCGATGTTAGTTGATGATAGAGGCCACCATTACTTGGAGCTAAACCATGGGAATCTCCGCCAGAAGGACAACAGGATGTGGCTGATGTTGTTAACATTGTTTGGGTTGATTTGAACACCTACTAAACCAAAGAAGAAGTAGACGGTGTCGGATCTGTGTAGTAGCTGTTGACCCCAGAATATGTTGCCAACAGATGCCGGACCCACCCGCTCACACGTGAGCGAAAGTCCAACGCGCTAAGATCACGTGAACGGTCTAAAACGAACAGATCAAGGGCGTGAGAGTAATTCAATGGCGCAAGACGAGAACGTTCGGAATTCGGCAGGATGTTCGTTGACCGATTGTACAATAATTACCAATCGATATTTGTGAACGTGTATCCACATTTGTATGAACTCATTTGTATTGCAAGATAATAAGAGAGAGAGTTGAGTAAAATATGATTTCTTGTATTGATTCTTGCATTAACATCTATATGAGGTACATGGGGGAATATTTATAGTGTCACAAGTTAGATCGTGACCTTTGGTTCGGGGTACACGTGGCCTCATCCAGTTAATTTACATGTCAAATTGTAGGTATCAACTGCACCTAGCATGCTATACATTTATTGATCGACAAAGTCGCCTCCACCAGTGACAAGACTTAACTTTTACACTCATAACAAACGTCCTATCAATTATTCTAGTAAGATCATTTTGCAGAGGATCTCTTGAAAGAAGTGTCTAGAGAAGATGCTGCTTTGTGATTCGGAGGCTGCTATCTTGGCTACAGAGTTTCGGCCAATAGAGCCTCGTCCACCTTCAAAGGGCCTCGGCATATGGGTTTTGGAAGCTCAATGATAGATGGGTCTCGGTATAAATGGGTCGAGGATTCTGTGGACCTCGGCTATGCAATCACCTTGGCTTGAATACCACTTGATTCGGCATGAGTTGGCCGTGGGCCCCGATGAGTTGTCCAAGTGTGCAAACACGTAATGGTAGCAGCTCTTGGGATTGATTGATGATGAGATTGATTTCGCTATTGTTAGCTAAGCCTTGATACTTTTTGAGCGGTAGTGCCATTTCCTTCGACGTTAGATAAAAAGGGACAATCAATACACAGATTTAAAAATGATCGAAGTAGTTGTTCCCATAAAATGCACATGCATCAAACTTAAGTAACGATATTTTGTCGTGTTACATAAGAAATAATGTCCTATATTCTGCTTTGTTTCTTTGTATCAAAATGTCAAGCAATGTGTAATTTGAGTTTTTAAATAAAACA